TCTCCCAAAGATCTCGGTTTCTTTCGAAATTGTCATGTATTGGACCGTAACGTCATGGATTATGACCTCTGATTGTACGAAAAATGACATTTTTAGCTAATGGACACTCTAGAGGTCACAATTTTCATCCAATTTTGATGAAACTTGAAATGTATGTTTGGTTCCTTTCCATATTCGCGCATATCTGATTGTAACTTTCTGGATTATAGCCCCTGATTGTACGAAAAATCGCGTTTTTAGCTTGTGGTCCCTCTTGAGCAGTGATTCTCAACCAGTAGGCCGCGAGATCTTCCTAAGTGTGCCGCGAAATTTTGAACAGCACACTAAGAAAATGTTAAAAAAAAGACTCGTGGGAGATTCTCTGTATAAGCATTTCGACTTCTAGATGTAAGCACTATAATTAAATTCATATTTATACATTTACATTTGCAATCACGTGTCAAATTTAACTGCTTCTTTCTGTCATAAAACAACTCTTATGTCATTATAAATTTGGAATTATTTAAATCGTCTGTGACCATAATGAATGAAACGACGTTTTACTCGCGGCATTAGGGAATGGAATACAACATGCTGTACCTAAAAGATCCTAACCAGAAATCGTCAAATTATAAACAATAGTTCTTTATACCAATATGATATATTAATCCGAATATGATGCAACTTTTTCTGTGGTGATCTGGGTAGCTAAAAATTATATTGATTCCGATATCACGACTTGAGATCTTCCTAAGTGTGCCGCGAAATTTTGAACAGCACACTAAAAAATATGAAAAACCACGTGATTCCAATTGGGTATTCACTGGTGTCTACTGATAAGTTCATAGCTCTGTTTTTCTTTATATAGTTCGAGTCATTCTATGTGTCTATGACTAGTCTTTGTCTACGGTTGTATTCCGTTTCATTTACCATGTTTTTATTTTGCAAAATTCAAATATTTTTCATATATATTTTTCCAGGTGTGCCGCTATTTTTTCATGTGTTCCAAGGTGTGCCGTTAGCAACAAAAGGTTGAGAACCTCTGTTCTAGAGCTATAGCCCCTGCTTTTCACGCAAAATCTGATATATGTACGGATTTTGTAGGCACTCCAGGTGGAGGGGGCGGGCTACCATTTTTGTCCAATTCTGTTGAACCTTAAATATGTTAAGGATCAAATGATCTTGAATTTTTAGGATAGCCCTTTTGACTTTACCTCTTCCCCGTCCATTTTTTTACAAAATGTGGGCATATCTTGCATGGCAACCGCTTGTTTCAACTGGCCATAGCAGTGAATTATTTGATGGATAAGGAGGAAAGAGTATAAATAGAACTCTATCCCGTCGTTTTTCTAATTACCTAATATGTCATAGATACAACAGACATGAGATGGACTTGAAATAAAGATCGACCGTTCAGTTATCTAATCGCGACCCTCGCAACCGCGGGTCTCTTAACCCTGGGAACAGTATAGAGCATAGCGGGGTTTTCTTCTTCTGAAAGTCTACGTTCTAGAAGTCTCACTTCTACTCACTTCTATGTTAAATTCAAGCCTTTTTGTGTTTTTAATAGAATAGTTACTTGCGTGCAACAACCTGGAGAAAAGTCATTGCGGCCAAAATATAGACGCGTTAACCCTCTACCCCGCGAAAGTCGGACAAATCAATTTTTTTTCGGGCGATCATCAAATTTGGAGGTGGGGTGGTGTTGGACAGTGGCCAGAGGACAAGTGATAAAAAAAAAACATTTTATTGGATATAAAAAAGGAAAAATTAATATGAAAATTATTCCATCCCGCAAAATGAAGTGCCCGAAATTCGGGACTTTTACTGACCATTGGGGCATTGGGTGGAGTTGCATTTCCCAACCGGAGTTCAGGGTCTTAGAAAGTCACACAATTCTGATTTTGATTTGGGGTGTCTGGTTCTCAAAATCTACCCCCTCCCCGGAACATCGGCCCGTGCGCTTGTGCTTATCATGGACCTTGTCCATGACCTTATCATCACCACATTATTCAATGATGAATATTCTAATGTGCATACCCATTCACTAATTACGATGTCCCGGCCTTTCTGGTGTTTTGCCCTCTACTAATCGTCGTAACTCTTGGATAAGACTGACGGAAATACATAAATTATTAATTTTTGCGACTGAACCGTTTCAAAGAATACGTGAAGTTGAATGAAATTTTTGAGTCACAGTCAAATGGCTGCCAAATTATCATCCATGTACATTAATCGTTCATCGCTAAAATTAAATTATGCGGAAGGTAGTGAAACGTTTTGAGATTTTATCGCTGATGTTTAACCATGCTGAATGTTGTGAAACATATTGAGATTTTATAATAACTGAGTATAAAGGATGTTATGCTGGTTAAAGATACATTTTTTAGAGCTAAATTTGCATATTGCAGATCGTTCCTTTGACCTCAAATGTTCTATAAAAAATTAATGCGATATGTATTTACATACCAGGCCCATAATCAACTCTCCATAACTTCGGACGGTTTTTGATTTTTAACAGATTTATGATTTAATTCAAAAATGACCGTCGAGACTAAGCTCTTCTGTAAACGACGATAACTCCTCTCAGAATGAAGTAACTTGACTGAAACTATTTTTTAAACTATTATTGCGAGAACTGTCGGCTCTTTATCTAAATCTTATGAAATATGCATCTTTAACTTTCCCTGATTGACCACCGTGGCCATGCTATATTAATAATACAAGATACCTTTACACCATCATGTTATACATCAATAGATATATTTGAATTTGAATAATTCAGAGACGATAAAGCGAAAGCGAATTCAAATGATACTCAAAAAAATCAAGTATATAATATAGATTGAAATAAAGGAGAGAGAGGGGGGACAAATGGGGTTTAACGTCCACTCTTACAAACTCGATCATTTCCGGACTAATACATGGTTCAATTCTATTACAATAATTTGCATGGTCTTTAGTAGTGGGTGGAAACCGGGGGGGCCCGGAGAAAACCCACGAGGTTGGATAGGTGACTATACTCCTTGTCACGTACAACCGGGGAATCGAAACCATGCCAGTTGACTCAATAACAGACCTTTTGATACAGCGCGCACATGCTAACCATTCGACCATCCATCCCCACCTTCAAATAAAGGAACAAGCAATTCGATACATCCATCGTCATCCAATAGCTTTCCACATAAAATAGAAATGCATGGCGTTCGGTCACGGCAAATGCCTCAGTAGTCAGCTAATATTCTCGGTTGCTGTGATTCTTTATTATTCTTTGGGTAAGGGGGTGGGGTGGAGGTTGCCCGATTGGCTAAGTTTTGTCATTGAGTCACCTGGCGTGGTTTCGCCGTCTAAACTCGTGGATTTTCTCCTGCTCCCCTGGTTTCCCCCATAGCTAACGACATTATGTGCAATCGAATTATAGTGTGTCTGTTTCTCTCCCTCCCTCGACTGTTTTGAGTTTGAAATGGCCCACTAACAATAATTGGCTTTGGCTGTTTATTGTATAATAAAGGCCCAGCATACGAAAAAGTACGTTTTCCAAGTTGCAATATGTAAGTGAATAGCTGGAGATTTTAGAAAATGTTTTGTCTTAGAACAGAGATTTCTACTGGTAGTTGAGATTTTACAATGGTTTTTTTAAACATAAGATGTGGTTTAAAAATATTTATTTCATATTATTTTCTTGGAGTATGGAGGCGGTCGTGGTGTTGTCAGGTAGTTGTTGTAGTTGTTGTAGTTGTAGTGCAAGAGAAGGGTATGGGTGTCATTGTTATATAAATTATATTCGTTGATTTTTGTCATGGCGGCGAGCAATATTTTCCATTTCTTATGTTTAAAACATTTATTTCTTTGAGTTAAAGGTAAACGAAATGGGGTTTAACGTCCCACTAGGCTAATGAAGACAGGCATACGCCATATCGTGTCCCATAGATAAGGGAAATTCTACCCGAGACCAGCGCTAATCTAGCTGCCAAGAATTCTTTTACGTCTCATCCGAATGAGTATACGTTGTCCTGCACCAGTGACAAGGGGGAACCACGCCGGTGGATTTCGGTGGATTTTCAGTATGATGCACATGGAAAGGTCATCTATATCTACAACTTGGTACCAAAAAACCTTCTAAAGCAATTTGTGGTGGGTCTATCAGTATTTTGACCAGACCAATATTCAAATAGACTATCGCGAGACTAGATTCACGCATATTACTGTAATAGAAGTCTTCCATGTGAGCTATTGCGGGACATTTTGGCTGGTTTTCGGGACGCGGGACTTGGAAACATTTTGCAGGACTGTCCCGCGAAATGCGGGACGGGTGGTCACCCTAAACATAACTGATTTGAAATTAGAGTAAAAACGGAAACCATTGAATGTATATCAGTTTATATACATTCATATTACAGTATTATATGAGTTCCGACCCACTTGTGTCAATTTGTAGGTCCCAAATGTTAGCGATTTAGCTCCTTTAATACTTAGGCTAGTGGCCATAGAAACATAGTGGCTATAGCTAATCTATGGGAAACAACTCCAGTCATACGATAGTTATCTCCCATTTTAACGTTGGGAAACAGTTTTTCTTTATTATTGTACACCTAGTAGCCAACTAGTATCGTGTAGAAGCTTGAAATTTTGAGGATGAACAACGACGCTGAGGCTGGCATATTTAAAGGATTTTTAGTTTTGTTCTTCCATCTATTATTCCCATTCGGAGGTGATGGTTTGTTTACTATGTAGACTTGAATATACAAGACACTAACTTCACACTGGGCTTTCTCGCAAACGTTGGTTAGACAGAAGCTTGGGCGGCCTGTAAATCGAACAATCTGTTATTCTGACTGCTACAACCCGCTATTCATTGTGTTTGGTAGACATTAAAATGGATAGGAAATCTATCAACCCGTTATTCCTATTGTTCCTTACCACGATACGATACGGCCACTGAATGCTAGCAAAAGGTAGCTCGGAGTGTGGAACAACCTTACTTAGTGTCTTGATATTCAAGTCTGCCCAGTAAAAAACCATCATGGCTGACGTCTCGAAATATAGACATTAGAATAAAAGTAAAATAAAGTTATAGCCCTAATTTGAAATGATAATAGCATTATCAAGGACCTGCGCCCGTTATTCATCCTAAACATCTCCTGAATATTTCAAGTCTCTATGGCAACGAGACGTGCACTGCCAGGTGTACGAACGTGCAATAGCGCATGATTTTGCAGAAGTCAAAACCGGAAGTGAAATTGGGGGAAAGAAAACAAGTTCGTTCGTTCGTTTCTGGGGTTTTACGTCCACTTCCACCTAAGGTGATATCGTAGACAAGAAAACAAGTAAGCCGAGAGAATGTAAATACAGGTGTTGTTTTTTTGATTTGGCTGATTTGTTTCAGTGACAGTGTAAACGATGGCGGCAGCGAATGTAGAAGATGATGATACATTGCCGGTTAATTTGTTAGATGCGCTCACAACGGCAGAACATACGACACAAACGGTTTCCCAATGGGATCCATGTTCGAGCGGTGACTGGGACCAGATGAAAGCTACACCAGAATGTTTTACGAGAATAAAAAGGTAATCGAGAATATACATAAATGTTTAGATGTTACAGGAGTGTATGTGTAGTAATGATTTTTTTTAATATTTTCACCATACTTCCCGAAAAGTCAATTGTTTGACCACCATAAGCAATTTAATAAAAACCAGTGACTCATGACTCATAGTCATACTCATAGGGAGGATGATAAAATTATTGTAGATAAAAGTAGTAGTGAGTACAATGGTCCAGGTGTAGTCCTTAAACCCAATCCATTATGTCACACTCAAAACATGGTCATACAACAAACTAGAACAAGTTGTGTGCCATAGATGTCCAACTTTGCATCGTTTTGGATTATTTAGTCTATGAATCAATGATACATTTAACAGTGAAGGGAGAGAGAGAGAGAGAGAAATGGAGTTTAACGTCCACTCTACACAGACTAGGTCATTTCGGGACTAACATCTGGTTTAATTTTATTTCAATAATTCGCTTGCGCATAGGGGTTTTTAGCAATGGGAGGAAACCGTAGGACCCAGCGAAAACCCATGAGATTGGACAGGCAACCCTACTCCTTGTCACGTACAACCGGGGATTCAAAACCACGCTAGTTGACTCAATGACAGGCCTTATGAGACAGCACGCATCCAAACCCCCTAACAGTGAAGGAGGACCACACAGGAAGGAAGCATCAGAAGTCTCTGTTTTGAAATGAAATGAAATGAAATGATGTTTAACGTCCTACTGTTCTGTTCCTACTGGGCTAATTAAGACGGGCATACGCCATGCAGTGTGCTATGAGGGAAATTTTGTTCGGACAGCGGCGCTATGGCCAACTCTGATTTCAAATTCAAACTGTCAAGGGTTCCTTTACGTGTGAGAAAGCATAGGCATTATAAATTCAGAAAGTGTAATTAGTCAAAGGTATGGTTATCAGGTGTGCAATTATGTAATAATTTGGACAAATTGAAAATAAAACGAAAGTGCATTATTAGTGATTTTATAATAGTCCTTGTCCAAAAGTTTGTTTTTTTAACCTGAAGAACTCTGTTGCTCCGACTCACCCTTTAGCTTACAGCCATCAAAATAGTCCTAAAATGGCTATTGCAAGACTTAAGATTTCAAACTGATGTAGTCCCTGCTCAACCCTTGTTCTTTTCATCCTGATAAAAACATGACATGCTTCCTTTAGTTTTTAAAACCATTGTTGTTTAATTCTAGGGATATTATGACAATTTATAAGGAACCACCACCTGGAATGTTTATAGTTCCAGACAAAGATGATATCACCAAGGTAGAATTTTTATTCTTAAAAACCATGTTTACTGAACACAATAAAACATCCCCAATGTACATGTATCTCTGCATGGACATACCTTACAGAAATATAACCTTGGGCTTCATCTTGTGATCATTTTCCATGTTAAATTCTGTCCACCTGTTATGATCGGTTCGTCTTTAATGTTTGTTTGGTAATTATAGTATTAATATCTTATAAAAATGGGTACAGTAGGTCTCCACCATCAAATTAATTGTGCAAATATGACAAAATATCTCCAAATTGACATACACATATATAAGACAGAAAGGAAAAATTGAGTTTATTACCTAATTGATAAGATTCAGATTAAAGTCAGTGATCACAATGTGCACTGTTCTGACAATGTCTAATTTTTGACAGCTTAATCTATACTAAAATTTAATCAATTATTTAAGATTTAGATTTATTAGAAAACAAAACCAAAACATCAAATGATTTTACGCCACACTTTAAGTTGTCTCTCGTCATTTTATATATCATCCTTTAATTTTTGTTCATCCACTAACATTTCAGATACATAGTTTAATAACGGGACCATTTGATACTCCATATGAAGGTGGATTCTTTTATTTTTTGATTCGATGTCCTCCTGATTATCCTATCCGTCCACCAAGAGTTCGTCTCATGACCACTGGAGATGGGCGTGTTCGATTTAATCCAAATCTTTATAAAAACGGAAAAGTGTGTCTCAGTATATTGGGGTAAGTATTTGAAGTTTCAGGGCGTTTAATTGTTAAGTACACAGGCCGAGTATTGCAGCTGAAAATTGTCTTGTGATATTTTGCGATATTTTTGCTATCAGTATTGCTATAACTTAATATATTGCAATATCACAGTATATTGCAACATCAGTATATTGCAATTTATGGAATTGTGTATTATTTTGTATTTTTTTGTCTGAAGAGAAATAAATAAGTGCCAAATGAATTTTTTTTATGCCCACATTTTCATGTGGACATAGATATATTGTCGTTGCCCCTGTCTGTTCGAATGTCCGTCCACAATTTGTTTGTGGACACTCTACAGGTCATGATTTGTATCAGATTTTGATGAAACTTGAAATATAGGTTTATATCCCAAAGATCTTGGATCCTTTCGCTATTGACATATCAGACCGTTACTTCATGGATTATGGCCCCTGATGGTACGAAAAATAATGTTTTTAGCTTGTGGACACTCTAAGAGGTCACAATTTATGTCCGATTTTGATGAAACTTAAAATGTATGTTTATAACCAAAGATCTCGATATTCGCATATATCTGACCATATCTTACTGGATTATGGCCCCTGATGGTCTGAAAAATCGTGTTTTTAGCTTGTGGACAATCTAGAGGTCACAATTTTTATCCATGATATTTTGCAATATTTTAGCTATCAGTATTGCTATAACTTAATATATTGCAATATCACAGTATATTGCAACATCAGTATATTACAATTTATGGAATTGTGTATTATTTTGTATTTTTTTGTCTGAAGAGAAATCAATAAGTGCCAAATGAATTTTTTTTATGCCCACATTTTCATGTGGACATAGATATATTGTCGTTGCCCCTGTCTGTTCGAATGTCCGTCCACAATTTGTTTGTGGACACTCTACAGGTCATGATTTGTATCAGATTTTGATGAAACTTGAAATATAGGTTTATATCCCAAAGATCTTGGATCCTTTCGCTATTGACATATCAGACCGTTACTTCATGGATTATGGCCCCTGATGGTACTAAAAATAATGTTTTTAGCTTGTGGACACTCTAAGAGGTCACAATTTATGTCCGATTTTGATGAAACTTAAAATGTATGTTTATAACCAAAGATCTCGATATTCGCATATATCTGACCATATCTTACTGGATTATGGCCCCTGATGGTCTGAAAAATCGTGTTTTTAGCTTGTGGACAATCTAGAGGTCACAATTTTTATCCGTGATATTTTGCAATATTTTTGCTATCAGTATTGCTATAACTTAATATACTGCAATATCACAGTATATTGCAACATCAGTATATTGCAATTTATGGAATTGTGTATTATTTTGTATTTTTTTGTCTGAAGAGAAATCAATAAGTGCCAAATGAATTTTTTTTATGCCCACATTTTCATGTGGACATAGATATATTGTCGTTGCCCCTGTCTGTTCGAACGTCCGTCCACAATTTGTTTGTGGACACTCTACAGGTCATGATTTGTATCAGATTTTGATGAAACTTGAAATATAGGTTTATATCCCAAAGATCTTGGATCCTTTCGCTATTGACATATCAGACCGTTACTTCATGGATTATGGCCCCTGATGGTACTAAAAATAATGTTTTTAGCTTGTGGACACTCTAAGAGGTCACAATTTATGTCCGATTTTGATGAAACTTAAAATGTATGTTTATAACCAAAGATCTCGATATTCGCATATATCTGACCATATCTTACTGGATTATGGCCCCTGATGGTCTGAAAAATCGTGTTTTTAGCTTGTGGACAATCTAGAGGTCACAATTTTTATCCGCTTAAAAAAACGTCAAAATATATCACTGTTACGATTACACCATAATGACAGTTGAGTTTGAATTTCTCGAAAATTGGATTGAAAATGCCCGACAAAATGGCCGCTCCACATATGCAAATAGTGTAAAAGTATGTAATACCAAGGTTGTGGACCCTCTAGAGGTCACAATTTTTATCCAATTTTGATAAAACTTAAAATATATCTTTAGTTCCTTTCGATACTTGTGCATATCGGACTGTGACTTCCTGGATTATGGGCCCTGATTGCACAAAAGATCGCTTTTTATACATGTCCATCTCTTGCAAGATGTGGGCATATCTTGCATGGTAAACACTTGTTTTGTTTGATACTGCAAATAAAGTGAATTATTGGAGTGAATATATTGAAAGATCTATTAACAAAGAACAGTCGGTCAAATATTCTTCAGCAAAAATTAGGACATTTTGATCATTAATCAATGAAATATTTGCAGAAATGAACAAATATATTGCAATATGTCGATTTTCATTTATTCATATTACGATTCGAGTTGTTAAAATTATCAATATAGTGCAGTATAGATCCTGCATAATTTGTATCGAAATATAGAGTCAAGCATATCAATATTTTTACTCTTCTTTATTAACTCATTAAAATTTAAAAAAACAAGAGTTTGTGTAAATCGTTAGCTTAGTATTTTACAATCACCATCAGACATCTGAATTCCCAAATGTCATTAGAAAATTTCACAAAAATATGCAAAACTGTTTTGTTGGAGATAGATCTTTGAAACATCGGTTTTCTGTTGAAAATTGATTTTTGCATATAATTTTGATTGCAATACACACCCTAATCATGATCATTCTCATGTAGTATTATTATATCTTTTGACAGAACATGGTCTGGTCCAGCATGGAGTCCAGCTCTCAGTTTATCAACATTGTTAATGTCGATACAGTCTGTAATGAACGAGAAACCATATCATAATGAACCTGGTTTTGAAACAGTAAGTTCATCTTACAGTACAGCCCAAAAAAGATAATGGGTGTCTCCCTGTGGGGTCCCATTGCTTCTCTAATAAAGAACCAGCTTCCGCGAGTGGTCATCCAAGATGTGTGTAAACCTTTAAAATTTTGGCAGCCAGTCAATTTTTTGATGTATTTATTGTTTACTAAGATATTATTTCTTTTATGGCATGTAAAATGACTGACAGATAAGATCTCCAAGCAGTCAATTTCACTGTAATTTAAGATTGTCAAATATATCTGAATCGAGAGCCCTGTCTGATTATGACTTTTGGACTCCTGTATCTATTGATTTTAGTGAACATAGCTTTTCTGGACAAATTTTATTCTATCTGTGTTTATTATATAAAAATAAATACTAATACTGATTTTGACAATCTGATTAAAACACAGATCCTATTTCATTTCATTTATTTTATAGTTTTAGTTTATATTTTGCTTTACTTACCTTTACTACACTAGGATCTGGAAGAGTTGTTATATAACCCACGTTCTGGTTGATGTGGAGGATTGGCGTGTGGTGTGTGGATCTGTGGGTTGTCCCACTATAAACATCAACACTGATTAGTTAATCAAATGTCTGACATCATAGGGTCAAAAGTCACTCGTATGACCCCTGACACAACCTTCCACTACATCCGGTCAGATCTTCATGTAGTAGAGGCCATTAAAAGTATAAAAAAATGAATCGTAATATAGATCTGTATTTTAATCAGATTGTGATTCTGAAGAAGCTAAAAAAAGTGAATCTTGTATAATATTCCAAATATGATTTTTGACTACTCACGGAAGATCTCATAATTATGTGGGATAGTCAGACCCTGAACATCAGTCACTTGATTTAATTAAAGCTTGATATTTTGTTATTTTATTAGGAACGTAATGCTGGTGATGCTAAGAGATATAATGATATAATCTGTCATGAAACAATACGTATAGCTGTCTGTGATATGTTAAATGGTAAACTACCGTGTCCCGATGCTCTCAGGTAATATTACTTTCTATGTATATATATATAGTCTATGTGGCACACATATAATTTGTGCGTCTGAACTTTTTCAAGCCATTTGTAGGGGATAGTCATTCAGTTGTTTAGATTATAGATTAATTACTGGCTGAGTGATTATTAATAAAAGTTTTATACTATACTCTTTATATGATATTTTCCATTTTAAGCCATATATAAATCTGGAGTTGTTTCTTTAATTAAGGGGGGTTGGATGGCCGAATGGTTAGCAAGTGTGCACTGTATTATAAAGTGTGTCATTGAGTCAACTTTGTGGGTTTTCTCCGGGTCCTCCGGTTACCTCCCACTGCTAAAGACCCCTACACGCAAGCTAATTATTGAAATAAAATTGAACCATGTGTTAGTCCCAAAATGACCTAGTTTGTGTCGAGTGGACGTTAAACCCCATTTCCCTCTCTCTTTCTTTAATTAAAAGATGTTTATTGAGACCTGAAAATAATCTTTTAGAGGCATTTAGTAACTGGACAGAGCCAAACGCAATAACACATACTTATGGAAAAACAGCTACTTATTTATTTGGGCAACATTTCGATGAGTATTCTCTCAAAGTTATCAAGCTAATGATAACATTGAGAGAATATCTTCGAAACGTCGCCCAAATAAATAAGTAGCTGTTTTTCCATGACTACGTGTTATTGTGTATTGAGACCTAAAAAGTAAGGGTGACAATGTATAGACATCTGTGAAGTACGTAAACCTAATGTGTAAATGATCCAAGTACATGTAGGTCTATACTAATCATAGAATTATCTCATAACTTTGTAGAGAGGTGATGGAGAAGTCTTTTCCTAATTATTATGATTATTATGAAAGTATTTGTGAGTCATGTAAAAATAAACAAGGACAAAGTATGCAGGTAAGTATGCAGGTTTTTGTGTCAATGTATGAATATGCTAAATGACCTAAAGATGTATTATATAAGATTTAGATAAGAGCTGGAGACGTTATTGCTCTAATAGTCCAGAAATAGATAATGATAAATGAATATATTGAAAATCTCATTCAATTAACATAAATCTGAGCAAAGTTATGACCGTTTGAAGATATACATGTGGATTTATATTGTCGTTGCCCCTGTCCGTCGGTCCAGATTTTGTTTGTGGACACTCTACAGGTCACAATTTTTATCCGATTTTGACAAACCTTCAAATACAGGTTTATATCCTAAAGATCTTGGTTCATTTTTATATTGGCATGTATCGAACCGTAAGTTCATGGATTATGGCCCCTGATTGTACGAAAAATCATGTTTTTAGCTTGTGGACACACAGAGGTCACAATTCTTATCCGATTTTTATGAAACTTGAAATGTATGTTTATAACCCAAAGACCTTGGTTCCTTTAAATATTCGCGCATATCTGACTGTAACTTCCTAGATTATCGCCCCTGATTTACGAAAAATTGCATTTTTAGCTTGTGTACACTCAAGAGATCACAATTTTTATCCAATTTTGATGAAACTTAAAATATATGTTTATATCCCAAAGATCTTGGGTCCTTTTGATATTGTCACATGTTAGACTGTAGCATCCTGGAGTATGGCCCCTAATTTTACGGAAAATTTTTTTGTTAGCTTGTTCTCTGTCAATCTCTTGCAAAATATTGGTGAGAATCGTGCATGGCAATCGTATCTTGCATGGAAACCGCTTGTTAAATCTCGCGAGTGTTTAGCTCCATTCATATCTCGGCCATCTGATGATCTAGAGAGCTGATAATAGCCTTGTCATATTAATAAATGTCTAAATAATTTATATAACATTTGAAGCCAAAAGAAAGGCCTGCGATGGGCAGATTTAGCTCTGACATAATGCATCTTTAATATAAAAAACATCACATTTTAAGGTTCTACATTCATATAGTTACTTACCTAACTAGTAATTCTCAAGGCTACCTACATGTATCTAAACTAAACTGTACACTGGGCTGAATACAAATTTATTTATAAGCAGTAACTAATTGTTGTCTCGGTCTGCAGACATGTGGCTAAATGACTTATCACAGACAACACATTTCATGGTTCTATACTTATCTCATTGTCAGTTTATTTATAGGAATTTATTTCCATTATGAAAAACTCTCATGTTACATATGTAAAAATTTACATCGTCTAATGTATAATCTAATTCCTTTATTTGTTCCTCGTAAATGGGGCTTCTAATCTTGAAATTTTTATTCTATTTATATTCAGCGCTCTCGTTGAACGTGACATTTTTACTCTGTATAACCTATCATAAAAAAGAAGGCATTATATTAAAGAGACTGTCTTTCTTACGTTATTTCACTTTATGTACCCCAAATTGTTATTGGAAACTTTACTTGTATAGAATGAACATTGAATAAATTAAGAATTTTGATGCATCTACCTTAGCAACAATCATTAGACTGTCGCCACCCAGTGCATGCGCAATAATTCCGCGCAATCACTGCTCAAGCATTGGCTTTACCCAAAGCCTTATATATCTATGCAAAACAAATAAAAAAGATTAGATTATACATTGTCTTTGATAAGAAATTACATGAATAAAAGTTAGACTATAGCATGATATAATTTTGAATCTAATAATTCGCAATAGAATTCAGGCCTGTCTGGGCACCAGATAAATTTAAAAGAGTTACCTCCCTTTAAAATGGAAAACCTGAATGCATTGTAATCTGATGTTTTTATTTCAAACTCTTACATGCTTTTGGGCCAGACATTGCCACATGTTTCTCAATCTGTGATGGAGACCATTCAACACAGCACAAATTATCGAGAATTAACATTCAAATTGTTGGGGAAGATCAATGGTGGTCTGTGACCAAACATTGCTCTGTTAATGAATTATCTCCTTTTGATGCATGTGTAACTTATGTGTTTCAGGTATATTAAACCACACAGTTAGTCAAATTTATTTATATAAGGAATCCGACCGAGTGCCGATATCAGTTTTGAATCACTTGGAGTACTGTACTTGAGGAGTTGATGATTTGAAAAGATACTGTAATCTTCAGTGAACAAGGGTTTACTGACCCGGGAGATTACCAGTGCCAAAAGAGAATGAATAACTCTGATGCATGCATGATCAGTCTACATGTTTCAAAATCATGAAATATTTCATCAAGGCTAATTATTGGTTTATTTTTTCAGGATCCATTTGGTGAAAAAAGAGGAACATTTGATTATGAATCTTTGTTGAAGAAATTACGAACAATAAAAAGTAATTTAGCTGAGAAAAACAATTTTTCAGATGACATGGATGATAGTTCTGACTCTGATATGGACACATCAACGCCTAATACCAGCTGACAGGCAGTGGACTATATCATAGAAATGTGTTCTTGTTATATCCCATGAACCAGGCAAGGGTGATTTGAAAGACTTTTTACAGTATATTTTAATATCTTGACATAAATCATGTGCCAATTCTCCAAGTCCCTTTTCACCATTACGGAACCAGGGAAGAGATGGTGATATTAAGATGACTTTGTATTTTTGGATTACTGGTGTATATAAGTATGTGTTATAGATAAAAGAAATTAATGAATAAATAATCTGGTTTAAAGCATGAATTATATAATAGCACTCATTTAATATTGAGCCATGAAATTAATTAATACAATCTGTGTATAGATTACACATACAATTTCAAAGTGATTAATCATTGGGTACCGAGCAAATAATACATATTGGCATAATCCTAAAAAGATTTTCCATTCAGATTTTCTTTCTAAAGTGGATCAGTAAGGTTTTATAAATTTTTAAACTGCAAAGATTATGATTTATTTAAAAATCAATGATCTCTGCAGATCTCCAGCAGATAATTATGAATAAAAGATATAGACATTAAATAAATAAAAAACAATATACAAGCTATGTTAAACACTGCGGACAATAAGATTACTGTCTGCTGAGTGTTGAATCTGTGCTGGACCTAGTATTAGTTGCCAGGTCTTCCAGTGTTCAGCCAATCGGTTAACATCAGCTTGCTGCCAGTATAATGAAAGGCTCTTTATAAATAATGATTTATGTCTTATTTTACCGACAATTTTAGTATTATATTTATTTTATGGTTGAGTTAAAAGTGTGAAAAAAAAAAATAACGGTGATCATTTATATTTCATAATAGCTAAACATCTCAATGTTTCTGTAAGAAACATGCCATATTTCACTTCTTGTCTCACTTTGAAATTTATTGTTAAGATGAATCTTACTCTTAGAAGAAGAAATTAATGCATATTGTGGTCATTATTATCAATTTTAAAATTTATTACTTATTTTTCAATATTTTGTTGACACATGTGTTAAGGATTGTACTCATAGCTATTGTTCAACAGGCTTGTTATTTTTATTTAATTTTTATTGTCCATACTGCATAATTAGAAAAACTTTCTGATGGACACTGAAAAATTCTATTTGTAAATTCAGTCATAATATTTATTAGCATTTGAACAAGTATTGCACACATGGCCGATCAATATGTAGTTTATTCACTATAAGTATATATAGGAAGGGTATGGCAATTTATTTGTCCAAATTTCTGTGTAAAAATTTCATTATTGATGCATTATGTATGAGTGGATTAGACAATGTCTGACTTTATTAAACGTTAAAATGGAATTTGAGACTTATTGTAGCAACAGTACTTGACAATCTAGACTATTTACACTATTTCTTATCTAAACTTTCATAACTTTGTTCAGTAATTTGACTGAAATATATTCATTTTTCATGATCTATTTTTAAACTATTATATATCACGAACTTCCAGCTCTTTATCAAAATTATTACACCTTTAAAATTATGGAAACATAATGTGGGAATATCCCTATGATCACAATCTCCAGTCTTTTATATGCGAACGCTTGTAGTTGTACTACTGGACTAGATTATTGTATGTAGTTGTTATATATTATATTGTTAATAATAAAAGATACCATTATATTATTGTCTGTGATTCTATTATTGTAAGCAAATCTCTTTAAATTATATCTTTTATAGTAACCATTGATATACTAATATGTGGGTTTAAGTATGCAAATCAAATATTAAAATGAAAAGAAATAACCAATTTTTAGCTCAATATATTCAGCTGTTTGGAAATGATTGCCTGGATAAGAATTTTAAGCAATTGCTTTGCATGTTAGCAAGCTTTTGCAAAGACATAACAGCAGCTGCATGTTTGGAAGCATTGAGACGAGTCCGAATTAAACCCAGGCGTCAGAATTAAACCGTTCAAATAATTATCACAGATCTTCAGAAAATGCATAAATCTGTCTGAAATTCCAATTGACCAGTTTTATTCACAAAAAATATCTGGGACGGCTCCTGGTATGTAGTTTATTTAGTGACTGAATAATCATTTTCATTAAGTCATCAACAACATCTCACATGTTTCAAATTTAATTCAAGTGAAGAAATTATATAAATGTCCTTCTACTTTCTATATCTGTTCATGTAAAGAATTTTAGGGGGGAAAAGGTTTGACATATCAGTCGGAGATGAATGAGGATTACTAGATTGTGGCCAAACGATCTATTAGCAATAACTCAACTTTTCCTTAATCTATTATATACTTTAAATATTTAGAATGAATTAAATGTATGAGTCACTAAATATATAAATATAAACCATCATAAATCAAAGAGATTTGTTCTTTTAATATGTTAATATTGTATGTTGGAGTTATTGTTGTCACTTTGAGTTATTGCTCTTGTCATCAAATCTTTCTAAATACAAGAGATATTGCTCTTGCCATCAAATCTATCTAAATACAATGAAATCCTCCTCAAGGACCATCTCTGTATTACAGACCACTTTTGTATAGGACCATAGTTTAAAAGAATGTATGAAATCTGTTTGGTGGGATTGTAACTCAGTAAAAATACCGCTCAACCATTAAGACCTATTTATGTCAGTCCCACACTTGGTCTTAATTGCTGATTTCAATGTAGTTCTACTCCTCAAGGTTTTCTTTGACAGTGCAATATCCAATGACCAACTTTTTCCCTTAACAAAGCTGGTGATGGGTGAATTTTCATTGCTTAGAAATGTTATGTTTAATATTATTGATGGTAGTTTAGTATAATACATTCTATTGTTAGAAACATGACCACAAGAATTGTTTTAAATTATGTTATTCATTTGTTGTTTATTTGATCAGCTTTATTTAACTAGTCTCTTTAGTTTAGACATTGGTTTAAAGTTCTTTGCTCAAGGGGGGTTGCATGGCCGAATAGTTAGTGCATGCGCGTTGCATCATAAGGTCTGGTGTGGTTTTGATTCCCCGGTTGTACATGACAAGGAGTAGGGTCGCCTGTCCAACCTTGTCGGTTTTCTCCAGGTGCTCCGGTTTCCTTCCACTGCTCTTACACGCAATCAAATTATTGAAATAAAAATGTAGTACAATGTTAGTCCTGTAGTTTGTGTCCAGTGGACATTATTTCTCTCTCTCTCTGTCTCTCTGCTCAATTCAACAAAGCATTCACTGGGCAAAGTTTCTAAAAGGATTTATATTCAGTATCTCATAATAAATTGAACTGAAGATCAGCGGGAATTTTCTACGGTTGAAAAAAAATTACAGCTTAGGCATATGAGATATTTTCATTGGCTCAGAATTACTATTCTGAATAAGGTTTTAGCTCATTATGTAGGTCTTAACCAATAAAAAGAAAGTGTTTGAAAATGTCTAGTTATGTCTATCTAGAAATAGACCATTGCTGATATTATGTTATGTTTGCTGCTTTTCAATTATTTTTTTTTGTTTTTTTGTTTGGTTACTTTGTTTCCCGTCATTTGATTTATTTTCATAAGATATGAAAATTGGTTTGGAAATCTTCGTATGATTTAAATAAATCCATTCCGATGGCTAGTGAACTCATGGCTACACGATTGGAAAGTAGGCCTATATATATATTTACTGCTAAATATTTGAATTGTTAGCCAAATGAGTTTGGTAAACTATAGTTTGCCATCATGTCATATGCAATCTATGACTATCTTGTTATTGAGTGGTTAACACATGCAATATAAATCATAAGCCATGTTATCTATGTAATTCAGGGGTCTGAATTTGGGTTGGTGTACCATAACAACAAGGAAACTAAGTTGTGTAATAAATTTGAAAGTATTATTAGGCAGTGATTATTACTGATTAATGGTTCATGATACAGTTCAGAGGTAACACAACAGATTTAATAAATCAAGTTCATGGTAGTTAATGTTTGTTAATCCAAAGTAGATATTGTGAAAGATATTTAAGTTTTTGATTATGTTAAAGAATTTAGGGTTTGTTTTGGGTTGCAATATTTTTCACATTGAATCATTTTACATTGACTTGCATATAGAAATAATGAACCTGGATACGATATGGATTATGGAGTGTGTTGCAGGTAAAAAAAAAAAGATATTACTGTTAATGTCTGAAACATAGTAAATTTTGGAATAACAATAGTACAATATGGACTAGGAACTGAGCATGACATCATCATTGCCATCTTGGATTTGTGATGTCATATCAAAAGGAACAAGCATTCATGTCAATTGTATTTGAATTGTGTACATGTGTTGAAGACTGAACAAAATTTTTCGCTGAAAATAGATTTTCATGCCAAAATTAAACTTGATTTTGCCAATTCTCCAAAAAACATAATTTGCTTAGTAGCAAGTACAAGCTATTAATAAAGAGACAAATGTTTTGATTTTTCAAAGACTGATTCCCCCCCCCCCCCCTCGAGTTATATTTTGTTTATTTTAAAGACTAAAAGTATAGAATATGTTATTGTTAGCATAAGGGTTGTATGGTAAATGTGTAGATGACTTGTGTATACCAACCAGTATATGTTTAGGATCTTTCAACATTTTATATGTAAATAAATAATATTACTACACAGTATCTTCATGTTTTTTTATACACCCACATTGAAATGTGGTCATATACTGTCGTTGAACCAGTCTTCCGTCATAATGTCTTGTGAACCCTCTAGCCACAATTTCCATTAATTAGCCTACTTCTAGAGCTATCACCCAAAGGTTTGGATGCAATCACAAGACTAAAAGTGTGGCAATCAGTTTAAAAATCATCACATTGTGCATACTGATGGTTGGGGTGAAGGAAGCGAAATGGTTTGGGGAGGCATAAGCTACCATAATAGGATAGCTGCACACGTGTGGAGGCAAAATGAAGGCCCAGTACTACAGGGACAATATTTTGAGACAATGTGTTGAGATAACCTGTTGATATGCCCGTTTCGTAATGATATTGCTCGAGTACCATACAGAATGTATCTCCATGGACTTCTTAATGCAAAAAAAGTCTTTGTAGAGCTTGAATAGTGCATCTGTGGGACAATATGAGACGTCAGTTTCTCCCAGGATGCACAACTGCAAAATCTCAACCGAAAGCAGCATTGCAACAGAGTGGAGAAGTATCCTCTCCATGCAGCAACACTATGGCTGCTAGAGGTGGACAAACACCCTACATATTTTTACCACTTGTGCCTTCATTTCACAGTAATGCTGTTATGGCATTTGTGGGGTGCTGTTGATTTTCCTGTGTCAGAATATGCCCAAACAACCACCATGCCAAAAATCATATTTCTGTTTCATTATGTCTCACCTGCACTTACATTTAAATCACATGTGCATTTTCATTGCATCTCAGATAGATCTGGGTGAAAAAGGTAAACTGGTCTAAGAAACAAGAAAACAACCAGATTGGACTAGTAAATTAAAGCTTTTTATTTTATAAACTAGTCAACAACCAAATACTGATCAATTATAAAACATAAAAGAGTAATATAGAATAAAATTATAAAATGGTACACATCATTATTAGTATGATGTTTGTTTGTGCAGTAAATCAAGGGGAATTTATAGTCAAACAGTTAATCTTGTAAAATTTTGAATTGTTATATATTGTAATTTAGTATCCTTCAAAATTTAGTATCCTTTAAATGTAATCTTATGAAAACAAAAATCCCTCAAAATTGAAAGTTTAAAACTCAAAAATATTTCTTCTACATTTGTTCAAAAGCTGCAACTGCACAAAAATCTTGACATGATAAATTTCCCACAGCTGAACAGAAGTCTTGAGTAGAGTTAACAAACTCTACCTGACAAATGGATTGTACACTGGCAACATGAAAAAAAAAAAAGTGCTGTACAGTGTACATTACTGAGGTAGTCATAAGATTGACTAATGATAAAACTAAAAAAATCATATAGGTTCATTTATAGTATATCATAAAAACTTGCATAAACTCAAAGGACTTATAAACTCATTCTACTGTTTGGATGGCCGAGTGATCTAAAACTTGAGCTGTAGATCCTAAGGCCTTCTACCCCAAGTCTGAATGAAATAAGGAGTACAAGCAGCACCTGCCTAATTTTGTTGGTTTTCTCTGGGTCATCATATTACTTGCTACATATAAAGATCCATGCGTACCACCAGATTTTTAAAATAAAAATAAACCAAATTTCTCTCTCTACTCTAAGAAATAAAAGACTAAATCTGGTTAACCAACTATACTAACTCTAAATTAACTAAACTGTTATGATGAACATATTAAACAATTTTGGATTGAAACATCCATATAGCTACTTTGCCCTTTTTGCAACAAGCCAAATTTGTTACATTAATACCATCACACTAAGAGCTCTCATTTGCCAACTTGACATGTTAATCAAAATTTTGTTAGCTACAGAACAAAATTTATTCCAAGTTTAAATTCTTGTTCATATTCCCATAGATTCAGGTAGAAATAACTCCTAGTCAGTCAATTTCAATGGTAATCGTATTTCAATGCCAGTTAGTATTCAATTGTAAATGTATTTGTAACTCTGTAATGAGAATTCGGCTTCGTTAAAAACTGCATATGGATTGAACTAGAGGCCTATATGCAACTGTACTCTCAAGTCAAAATTGTATTTTAGACAATTACATCATAAACCTTAATTTGTATGGTCTTCTATGTAAAAACACATAAAGTTTATAAATTGGAATTAATCTTTTTTTTAGACAAAAATCTGGTTAATATGTGGCAAGCAAAATACATTTACATGTACACGAAAATATGTCAGATGGTCAAAATTTTTAAAAAAGATGCCAATATTAAACACTCACATGGTAATAATTCGTGATTGAAATATTATTATTTTGCTTTGGCTTTATTATTTGGGACTACGTGTATATATTTTTTATTCAGGATAAAAGTAAATAAATATAAAAGGTTTTCATGTATACAATAATTATTACGATTAATCATCAACAAACTTTAAAAGTTACTATTTCATGACAATTAAACATTTCATAGTAAATAAACAGGGCGCAAAGAACATGAAGATGCTCTGAATTGTTGAAGATTTTAAGTAAAATATTTAATGACAATTAAAACAATTAATACAACCATATTAATTAACATGTTAGAATGAAAAACTCAACAAAACTTTTTAAAACTCGAACTGAAAAGTTTCTGTGTCATATATACATATTTCAACATACTTATATTATGCATTATGTCAATAAACTGAATAAAGTTTCCTTACATTATTTTGAAATAACACTCTATTGGTTTATGTGAATAAGCCACAGTAGACAAAATAACAACTCCAGACACATAATACAGAAACATTTCAACCGTTTTTCCCCTATCAAATTTAACAACCAACAGCAAAGATTGTAAGATTATTAGAATGTACAGTGTGTATTGAGCAAGCAAAGCAATGAAGCATTTACTTCATTTAGCGGAAATATAGATAGCATGTTGTCTGTGAATTACTATATTATTTAGAATTAATGACTCAAACAATCTTGTAATTCAAATCCTAATTAATATTGCAGACAACACCCTTTCTTTTATCTTCAGTACCAGTATCAAACCTCCATCCACACTCATTTATTAATAAAACCACTTTAAAGAAAATAAACAAAGATTAAAATTATTCTTTTCGAAGAAATTTAAAAAACAACCAACATTTCATTTTTTAAGAAAACACAAAACCAAAAAGCACATCGTTAACAAGCATCCGAGTGATGGGGAAATTAATTCAAATTTATGTCAATTAGTTTTTAATGATACAATGAAGTAAAGATTAAAGATGAATGCAAGCAAGCAAGTTACTCAAATGTACAAACAAATTTTAGAATATACGTTAATAGATTTAATCTGAATGATTGTCGAAGAAATTGAACCATACCAAATAAGCTCCAGTGTAAAAAGATGTTAAAGTTTTGATGACCTGTAATATTCAATAACAAAAACTTAAAAACATCTAGTTGTAGAATTCTGTATTTTTTATTAAAAATTAAGAAAGTTTTCTATGAACAAGGATTGATATAATACACATTAATAAAACAAAATTTAATGTTCTTTCATACATACATATTTCACCTTATACTATGTCAAGAGACATATGCATCAGACAACTGCATCATTGTTATCTTATTAATAATATGGTTAAGACTATTATCTAATTAATCACTGTATATTATTGTACTGTTTTGAGGGGTGCTATGTTTAGCTACATATATAACTGATTTATGTGATAACTACTGATCCGTACTTAACTTTATGATACAAGAACAAAATGGATATTGAAATTATGTGATTGGCAATAGGTTGCATTTAAGATATTAATTTCATGCTGCTCAAATTCATTTGTTTCGCACTAAGTTTTATTTTAGAATGAAGTATGCATAGTTTATGAATTAACAATTTTAATAAAATTGAAATTTACTAACCCAGTAATGCTTTATAGATGAAGGGTGGTAATATTTTATACCTAACTGATCACAACTCAAAATTGCATGTCTACTTGGTTCATAAAAAGTGTTATTTGTGACCAAAGTAAAATAATGATTCAATGACAAATCAGTAAAATCAAAGAAACATGTCATTATCTTAGACATAGAGATTCGAACCAGGGATATTGCCAGTCAAAAGCCCTATTCCCTAACTCCACAACTATAACGGACTCATTTGTCGAAGTAGACATGCAATATTGTATTATCAGAATTATAATATCAGTATGGTAGGACAAGTAATCCATTTATCACCAACATATTTTAAGCGGACTGTCTATCGATTAGCGAAGAACTCAAACATCCAAGGAGTTGAACTCTTTACCAATAAATCAGCAGTGTCCTTATAATAACTTAGTTTTATTTAATGAATATGGTTGTAGGTATAAGATTTTATATGAAGTATATAAAAAGAGTTTATATTGATATTCTATGGTATAATATCTTTACATATGTTCTGGGTGATTCTTTAAACAGTCCATAAATTGAGATACAGGTAGTTCATTTTTACAGATTCTATGTATTGCTGTGAATAGTGGAAATCTAAAAAAACAAAAAACAAAACAAAATGTTAAAATGAACGACCTACTGTTCTGCTTCGAATTGGGCTAATGAAGACGTGCATATTACACCATACAGTGTATCTAATTCCAACTGCCAAGGGATCTTTTACATGTACACCAATGTGTACACAGGACCTCGATTTTTCGTCCCATCCGAACGACTAGACTCTCCATCCTGTATCACTGACAAAAGGAAACCACGCCGGAAAATCTGGATGAACTTTCTCGGCCAATGCTGGGATCGTACACCCGACCTCCAGGCAATTGAGCCAGCGTCTTACCCACTTAGCCACCATGCCCCAAAATGTTAAAAAATAGCCCCCAAAAATCAAAGTACTAAGATGAAGATTTGCAACAAAACAATTCCATCAAAATTGCTAAGAATATTATACTACAAAATCATGCACATTTGTAGTTTTGGGATATGCATATTTTGAATGCATAAATGTCATGTTTGTACACAGATGTACAACTACGTCAACGAGATACATACTAAAGAGGACATTTAGGGGGTGCTCGATTGTCAGTCCGGAACGTCCCGAATTGACAGAATTGAAATCAAGTGATACGGAATTCAGTCCTGTCACAGTTTTGCCAGTCCCGACAGCTGAGGTGGTGTGAGTAGAATCGTGACGTATTTTGAGTAACAAATATGTTTCAGCTGCCATGATTGGTTGAGATATTTTTTATGCAGTCGGCACATGCGTTGTACTCCGAAATTCTCCTTTTCACTCGATTGACATTATTTTTGGAATTGAGAGAATTTAATTCCGGAACGTTCAGTCGAGTATCCCCGTAGAAAAATATCGGGAGTAACATTTAATATATGTTAAACATGTAGCAATTAGGAGTCTTAGTCTGAACACTTTAGGGGGGTTGGGTGGTCTAATGGTTTAAAGCATGCACTTTAGATCGCATGGTCGGGCATTGAATCAAATGACATGGTTTCGATTCCCTGCTTGTACGTGACAAGGAGTGGGGTCAAGGAGTAAGGTCACCTGTCCAACTGCCTGGGTTTTTCTCCGGGTCTTCTGGTTTCCTCCCACAGCTAAAAAAATCCTATGAGTAAGCAAATTATTGAAATATTCGTTCGAAATGACCTAGTTTGTATCAATTGGACTTTAAACTCTCTCACTCTCTCTCCCCGCCCCCAATAACATTTATAAAGAAACAAATCCTACCTGTCTTCCATTTTTTTAATATTCAACATATAATTAACTTCAAATGCTGTTGGTGGTCCCTGTAACTTTTGACCATTTAACATTTCCTTTTCTAGTTCTTCTATACTCTGTATAAATTAATAATATAATTATTTACACAAGATCGGAGTTATTCTATGCCCCTGCATACTGGACTCCTCCAAATTCAAGGGGCTGGGTGACCCAGTGGTTTAACACATGTGCGTTGGATCATAAGGTCTGCCAATGAATCAAGTGGTGTAGTTTCAATTTCCCACTTGTACGTGACTAAAGACACCTGAATTATTGAAATATAATTGAACTATACATCAGTCCCGAAATGACTTAGTTTTTGTTGAATGGACCTAAAGTCCATTTCTCTCTCTCTCTGTCTCTCTCTCTGCCCTCCTCCAAATTCAACCTAAAAAGTTTAAGAGAGTTATCTCTCTTTCTCAATCATGTAAAATATCAATGTTCACTAATCAATGAGACTATTTGTATGCTTGATTATTAAAATAAAAAACAGGTGATACACCATTTATTTGTATGGCCAAATTAATTTGCTACATTTTGAAAATCGTCAAAATCTGAATTTGAAGAATAGAAAAATAGAAATAGCCCATACATTCCCTTGATTTTATTAATTCTACACTTAATAAAACGATGGTATTGCACAGACTTTTTCTATTTTTTTTTTGTTTTCTCTTATCTAGTGACAGTCAGTTCTTATTATAAATTGCCAGATATCCTCTCAGTCTTAGATAACAACTTTTGGTCTTCGAAGGATTTATCACTGAGCAGAAATTCACCAGTGTATCTGTTACTTCCATCAGTAATATAGAAGGATAACCTTGTGTTTTCCCCTTTGCTTTCGTCACTTTTGTTTCTTTAAATCTTCGTTATGCATCGATCGTAGCAATGATCTCTGGGTTAAAATTATATTTGGAACGTGTTTAACAAGTTCTATCACATATGTGATAATGGCCGACACCAATATTGTCCTTTAAAAGTACAATTAGAAACATTAAAGCTGATCACCTACCTTGCCTGTTTTAGCGAAAGCTTCAGCTACTCTACGATTTCTACCTCCATAACAAGTTGTAACTAAATCGGCCACACCACAACTCTCTAAAAATGTTGATTCATTTGAACCTGGAAATAAATATATCATACACACTTATACATCCGATCAATTATTAACAGCAAACACTACTTAAAATCATTTTCTAGAAGTCAATATGTCATGTACCTATTTCTAGAAATTAATGTTGAACCCCACTAATTCATACACATTTGATCAACTAGATGATAATAAATACATTATTTCAAAAGCACAAATGATACAAAAATACAAACAATAATTATGGACAGCAAACACTACTCAAAATCATTTTCCAGAAGTGAAATCAAAGCTTGACCTCAGCAAAGACATAATTTACCTCACATATGGAAGTTTGAAAGAATAATTAAGTGGATATATTTTTTACAACATACCACACCACAAAAACATTACCTGGATAAAAAACTTCACAGAATTTAATCATCTCCATTAAACCTAATCTGATTACAGCAGCCTTTGTATTATCACCATAACCTAAACCATCAGCAAAACCTGCTCCAACGGCTACAATATTCTGAAAAATATAAGCATAATTCACTTGTTAAAATTGGGGGAATTGGGTTGTTGAGTAGTCTATTGTGAGTGCTTTAGATCAAGAAGTCTGTCATTATCATTTAATCAAGTGGTGTGATTTCGGTTTAAGGGTTGTGACAGGAGTAGGTTTTGACACCGGGGCATTCATTTCATAATATTGAAGTCAATATTTGACGTGTTTAGTTTACTTCTAATTTTATGTCTTTTAATTTTATGTCGGGTAAAGTGACTAACATAAATTCTCCAACTAGTCAATTTCACAGCCAGACAGTGTCAACTGGCAAATATGACTAAAACGTGAGAAAGAAATTGTCACATTCAATTCAACTTTAAGTCTTGTAAGCTACTTAATAGCATGCAGCTTTTTGGAAAATATTGCACTAATGGGGATAAGAAAACTTATATCTCATACTTTTATAGCTGTAAACTTACTTTTAAAGCTCCACAGACTTCAACTGTTGTTTCATCTTCAACTACAACAATTCTAAAATAATCAGCTTGAAACATATCTTTTAATAATGGACCCATATTCTTATCTTTACAACCTGATAAATATAGAAAATATAAATAGAATCCAAAACATTTCTGTTGTTGAAAGATGCATTATGTAAGATTTAAATAAAGAGCTGACAGTTTTTGCTATAATAATATAGTTAAGAAATAGATAATGAAAAGGGAATATTTTGAAAATTTCAATCAATTACTTTATTCATGCTTAGAAGAACGGTGTAGCCTCGATTAAAATTGCTACCATTGTTACGATAATAAATTAAGTCTTGATTATCCATTTTTTAAATAAATCATTGACTAGCAATCATGTTTGAATCCATTAAAAATCAAAAGCATCCGATGGTCTAGAGCGTTGAATATGGGCTTGGCATGTGAATAAATGTCTTAATTAATGAATTATATAAAGTTTGAGGCCAAACGAAAGATCTGCATTAGGCAGATTTAGACCTTACATAATGTATCTTTAATAATATCAAATGCACATAAGTTTTTGTCATCCAATATAAAACATGATAAAGTCAGCATCAGATTTCCCTATATGCCTGGCAGACTGAAGCCTTTGGTCTCAAGATCCAGGGGACCTCTGATCAAGGTCTACTTGTGAGGGGCCTCATAAGTGGTATAACCCCCAGGGTCTCTCTTTATCTAAATCTGACAAAGGAAACAAATACTTTTAATAATAGGTAAGTGTTTGGTGAATTTCATTATTCACATCCAACCATTTACATCACTCTAAATTGTCCCCATTGTTACAGTACACAAACATTCTACATACTCTACGTTTTTGATTGTGAATGATCATCTGAGGTTCATCGAATATCGTTGTGAGGGGATTGGATACAAAAGCATCTATATACCTACATCTAGGACAGAAATACAACCTATGTAGCCCATTTTGATCTGTTTCATCAATACAGTTGTTTCCTTCCTAGATTAGGTAAAAATTTTCCTATATACTTACAATTCTCTATATGTGGCATGTTGCCGACGCCATGCTGTACTTACCTACTGTGGCTTCACAATAATTCTCTTTGGCGACTTCATTAGCAATATTAGCTCCCATTAACACAGCACAGGGTATATTGAGTATCTCTCGAATAACATCTGATATTAACAATATACCTCCACCTTCTTTTACATCAAACCCCTGTAATTAAAAAAAAGCAATAGATGCCAGAAAACTCCATTTTTAAATCCATTTTCCTGATATAGTAAATAGGATATTATTAATCATAATTGGTTCCATGGAATTCATCTGTCAGATAAATGGAACAATAATCATAATATTGAACTCAGGTGAAGATGTAATATAATCAATTCTTGAACATGTTTTTCAAGTTGACCGTAAATGCCAGTCATGATCGCATGCGTTAAACATTGACAAAAATGTCTCTGGTCCAATCAGTCAATTGCTACGTGAGTGTGACCTGCAATCAGCTAACCAAATGTCTGTATATTATGTTTATGTATTACCACTTACTTTAATTAATGTAACTGCTACAGCATCTTTTTTAACTTTTCCTTCTAAAGCTTTTCCTACTTTCCGTACAAACTGATGAGGTAGGACAAAAATAAAAATATCGGCATCTTGTCCTGCATCTGCAACATCTGGTACTGCCACCTATAATAAAACAAAAGTAGAAACATTGAGATATTAAATATTAGTAAGAGATGATTAAATGATACATGTATTTTGGGAATCAAGTGACGGCCGGTGAAAATACATTAATTACAGTACAAATTGTAAATTCAAACCCTTCATATGAAGATGACAATATTTTATTAAAAATGGGCTTCTTTGATCTTACCTTAAAGATGCATGTAAGACTAAGAGCTAAATCTCACAGAATAATGTAATTTCAATCTAATTTGAACTATTATAGAAAGAATGTCCAGCTCAGTGTGTACGATGTTTGCTGTGAATGTTCATCAGGATTTTCTGTCATGGTTCCCCCTTGTTAGTGGTGCAAGACAGAGGGTCTGGCAAGGAACAAAAAAAACGAGGTCCTGTGTACACATTGGCGGCGGCGGCAGGCAAGTAAAAGATGCCTTGGCGGATGTAATTTGATGTCAGTGCAGGCTAGCGCCACTGTTCAGGCAAAATTTCCCCCATAGCCCACTGTATGGCATATGCCCATCTTGATTAGCATTAGCCCAGTCGGAACTAAACACCATTTCATTTCATTTCTTTATCTAAATTGTACACAATGCATGTATCTTTAAGTAAACAGTATTAATTATTAAATAGCTGATAGTGAAGTAGATTCTATGTTTTATTAGTTAGTGTATTTACTCTATTTTTACCACATAAATGTCATTTATAGCTGTAGGGCAAGGCTTACTTATTGGATGTGTATATGTACTAATGACATAGCCTTGAGCTTAATGTTTATATACATGTAGTTTAACTCTTTCTCATATTGTTATTCCTCTAATTATTACATCACATGTCATAACTTCAGACACTGACATTAAACTGACATGAAGTTCATGTCCCAACCTTCAAAAGTACTAAAATATCTCAATGACAGGTTAATAGTCAATTAATTGCTCAACTGTTCTTGTAATAAGCATGTTGTGTTTAACAGAAACAATATGCACAAACAGTTACTGGCACTGCAAGTTGGCAAGAGTTTAGAAATATCATCAAAGCAACTGTGCAATAAACAGAATAATCACACTTTAGGCCACTGATTGCCATTCACATTGTTCAGACAATATCTAACTTTTAAGATCTCTAAAATTTACTCAAATTGATTATTCAACATTTAATTTTAGAATATGAAACTTAAATTTCAACAGTACATAATCTCCCGGCTTGGATTCAATGGATTAAAATGAAGTCCATCTAAAGATTTTACTCTACACCCATAGGTGGCGCTGATGGCAAAGTATAACAAATTTTCAGTTCATCATATCTTTGTAAATACTGAAAGGAATTGAACTATTTTTGTGCTGTTATTTTTATTTTTGTAGAGATTCAGATTTCACAACCGTATAAGTTAAATTCAGCAGGGATTTCTAATCTCTCCAAATCCTTGAAATAATGATAAGAGGCTTTAACTGGGCTAAACAATGACTGTACATAGTGTAAACCTCTTTGATTTAATCCAAAAGAAAGTATTAAGTTGGGTTGATCTGACTTGTTGTTGGGACAAGCTCTGTATGATTAATTCTTTTCAAAAGATTAAAGAAGCATTATTATATAAGATTAAGATAAAGAGCTAGCCATTCTTGCTATGAATATATTGAAAATTTCATTCAAATTACTTTATTCTGAGCAACGATACATGTATTAGCCTTTGAAGGTTTGATAAGATGTCTGCATTGATTGTAAAACCATACTGGTTGTTTGAAGCTTAGCCTTGCTTCTCCATTTTAAAATTAAATCATTAAATATCTGAACCATTCTAATCTACTTAATATCAGAGACATCCAATGTCATCGAGAGTTGGTTATGGTTTTGTCATGTTAATAAATGTGTAATTAAAAGTTTATGTAACATTTAAGGCCTAAAGGCAGTTTAAGCTGCAGTCAGTGTGTAATTTCAAGTTTACTTTTGGCTTAATTTCTCAACAGCTGAACACAAAATCAGTTAAGCTTGTATATCAACCATGACTTTATCTATATTGGTTATATTTTCAATGAAGACAGATTACTGTAGCCTTATAGCACACACACAAAAAAAATAAGATATAAAATCAAATGAAAGCAACACTTTGTTTTGTCCAAATCATTTTACCCTAGCCATATTATATTATGTTTTAACTTTGTTTCTTTTCATTTTATTTTTATAACAAACCAAAACCTATACCAAGAAAATAAATGCTTTGATAACATTTATATTTAAATATCAGCTGTGTTTGAGTATGGTCAGTCCATCTGGAAAACGGATAAGAACAGATAAAATTGATATGGAAACATCTTTCATGTGTTGGACAACATAAAATTACATCTAGAAAACAGAATTGAAATTAAGATAAGCACAACTCTATGGAATTTTTCCCCAATGATTTCTTGTCAATTTATTTTTGTCAGGCCTGGAAATAATGACCTTACGAAAAGTCAGGCATCACTAAACTGGTACCTGACATTTTGAACGTTGTGCCAGACTTGTCATGTATTAATAATATCAATAAAGATAGGTTGCCAGGCAACGAAACATGCCCACAGCGGCTAAGTCGTCCAGGGAGTCAACAAGGTTTCTCACATATTTTTTTCTTTTATCAGAAATGAAAGCATTTACAATACACTACAAGTAACAACCCATTTGGCTTTTAGTTCTGCCCTATTCTAACATTTAGCATACAAAACATTCAATATCAAATGCTATAGGCATAATCATTGGAAATCTTTGAAAATTGATAGGCTTATTCATATCTTGACCTTAGCTTTAACCTCTAAAGCGTCCGCAAATTTTTTTTAGAGTGATCAAGCGCCATAACTATGGCAGTAATTATCGGAAATCGTTTAAAATCAATAGGCTTCTTTGTCTCATGACCTTAAACACTGTGTATAAATTTAAAGTCAATCTGATTTTAACTTTAGAATCCAGAGCATCCACAAGATTTGTTAGAGTGATCAAGGACAATAACTCGTACAATAATTATTGGAAATCATTGAAAACCAATAGGCTTCTTTGTCTTATGATCTTAACCATTGTGTATAAATTTAAAGTCAATCGGATATTAACTTTAGCGAGTTTGTGAACGTCGGACCACTGGATGTATACAGTGTTTCACGAGGTATATTTTGCCTGGATAGCGGCACTACGGCCTACTCTAACTTCGAATTCCAACCATTAAGGGATCTTTATGTACACGCCAATGTGTACACAGGACCTATTTTTTTGTCCAATCCGTACCACTATAAATTGGCCCTCCTTCCTGCACGATTGACTAAGGGGAACAACACTGGAAAATCCTGATGAACTTTCTCTGCGGCTCCCATGTGTAAACAGGACCAGGATAATACTGATCACCTTTTCAAGTCCAAGGTACAGGTACTTTGTGACCTTGTCATTACAATATTTTACATGTGATTGTGTATGTATGTCAGAATTTGACCGACACGCTTTAGAAAGTTTATTCACGATATTATGTGCAAAATTGTATTATTATTATCCTATATAAAATGTTGATCTTATAATTGTTTTTTTTAGCCCACTGGTCGACATGATCTTAATAATTTATCAGAAAATGGTGAGTGTTAAAAAAGATCATATTGCAGCTGATCACAAGTGTAACTTACATTTAAAAGGTTAATAATACATGTAGAACAAAGGGGATCACAGACACTTTTATTGCACTTGGACAATTAACAAAAATACAATTAACATCCAAATATAAGGAACCCTCAGTTAGACATAAACAGATCCACCCACTCACTCATTTTATTTAACTTTGAACTTATAAGAAAGACTGACCCACATACTCTATTAGACTTGAAACTGTTCAAATATAACCTACTATGTATTAACTTATATTTTAAAAATCAGTCCATAAAATTACGAGGCCTGATACCGGGTACCTACTTTTTATCAATTTCATAACATACATGTACACCAAGTTATCAACCATAACTAATACTAGTACAATAATTTTGGTCTTTGAATGTAAGAATTCCCTTATGCCATGCCACCAGTCTCCCTTGATCTTAAAGAGGACATTTTACACACCTACATCCTTTAACCACCCCTTAAATTATCCTGATTAATATCAAGTAATTTTAACTCTTTGATCAATGGGGCATTAAAGGGTTAATAGCCAACATTTTATGGCGTCATTTCCTTGCATTTGGAAATTTTATTGGGCATCAGTAGGTTACTTAAAACCATATACAGTTCTGTACTGCCTTTATTTATCAATAGTAATACTTGATCTAAGAGAGAGAGAGATGGGGATTAACATTCACTCAAAACAAACTAGGTCATTCTGGGACTAACATATGGTTCAATATTATTTAAACAATCCCCTTGCCGGTTGGGGTTTTCAGCAGGAGGAAACCCACGAGGTTAGACATGTGACCCTACTCCTTGTCGCGGATATGTCACCCTACTTTTTGCCATGTACATGTGTAGCACTATGCCTAGTGCTATGAGTCACTGGTTAGATGTGGAAAGTACAATTAAACAAAAACTTGAATATGTGACCCTACTCTTTGCCACGTACAAGTGTAGCACTATGCCTAGTACTTTAAGTCGCTGGTTAGATGTGGAAAGTACAATTAAACAAAAACTCCCCACATCGCCTAGTATTTTCAATTGTCTTCTAAGCTTCCTTTTCATGTTGTTTATTTTCTTCTTACTACTATCGCAGTAGTTAAGACGTTTGTCTTACCAGGAATATTAATGCAACAGTTCAGTTATACATTTTTATGTCAAGCTAGATACAATGGTACAATGCATAATAGATTACAATAAAGTCATTCTCTCAATCCCATTCTACCCAGATTTGCCGGGGCGAGTCTGCTGATAGAAATTACTACATCATATGGTCTAGGAACTCAGATGGACATGGTAATCTCTCCGGAACCCAATGATATCTAAAACTTAAAAGGCTGGTTTGGGCTTTTTAAGTTTAACAGATTTGCTTATGTCATCACTTAAGATTCTGCATATAATGACTTTGATTGAATAATTACAATATATGATCCAATTAGTAAATTTCCAATCATGTTTTAAACATGATGTTCTGATTCCCACGGAACCAGTTATGTTTACCAAATTATAACTCTTTTTATGTTTAAATCTGTCATTCATTATTTGAGTGCATTAGCTAGGATTTCTATACAATGTGTGTATGTGAAATTAGTTAAAGATATACAATGTACATGTAATATGGTCTCTCAAGACACAAAGACCATAGTACTACACAAGCTGGGAATCATATTCTTACATGTATCGGTACTTACCACATTTTCAGGTAATTTGATACCCGGTAAATATTTGACATTTTCGTGATCATTGTTGATAATATCCGTTAATTTACGCTCATTGATCATTTCTTCAAATACCCACATCCTAACTTCCTTCACAAACTTTTCTGGCATCGTCAACACATTATTACCAATAATCTTAGCAATGGCCGATCCCCTAAAATTAAACGTAAAATATATTAAAGATACATTATGGGAGAGTAGATAAAGGGCTGACAGTTTTCACATAGTTAAAAACTAGATAATGTAAAGGGAATTTGCTGAAAATTTCAGTCAAATTGATCCACTCTGAACCAAGAATTTAGCAACTGAATTTTGGGCCTAGGCTCGATCATCATTACTAAAGTCAGTGCGATAAAAAACACAGTCTCAATTATCCCTTTCTTGATTTAATCATGAATGAGCGTTAAGCAGCAGATAGGATCCTAATCCAGTAAATATCGCAGGCTATAGTTGATTATGGTCTAGATAATTTACACTGTAACCCAGGTATCATTTAATCTTGTGTATCTAGCACTAATTTCTTTCACATTTGTTTAATTTCAGATCTTTGTTTAAAAATTCTGAAAAATTGTTTAAAATCACCAAAAATCATCTAATTTATACTTGTGTCAAGTTTAAAGCTGATTGATTAATCATACATTAAGCAAGAGGTAAATATGCCTATTGCAGGTCTTTCTTTAGGCCTGAAATGTTATTTAAACTATCAATTACATATTTATTAACAAAACAAGACCATAATAAACTCTCAATGGCATCGGATACTCACGATTTTAACTAGATTAGAACAGTTCACCATTTAAAAATTTAATTTAAAAATGGGAAAGCGAGGCTAAGTCGCGAATATACCAGTGCGCTAGATGCACACATCTTGTCAAAACAATAAACAGTGATAATTTGGCTCAGAATGAAGTAATTTGGCTGAAATTTTCAATATTTTCTTTTTTTATCATCTTTTTTTTAATTATTATAGCAAGAATGACCAACTCATTATCAAAATTTAATAGTCAGCTTTAAAGTTTAAACTGGACACAAGTACAAATTAGATGATTTATGGTGATTTTAAATGTTTTTACAAATTTTTAAACAAAAATTTGATATTAAACATATGTGAAAGAAATTAGTGCTTGATACACAAGATTAAATGATAACTGGGTTACAGTGTTAATTAATGTCTAATGAATAATTTAGATAATATTTCAGGCCTAAAGAAAGACCTGGAATAGGCAGATTTAGCTCTTGCATAATGTATGATTAAATTTTTCATCAGTGACAGATAAAATCAAATGTGTAATAAATCATTAGATGATAAACAAATTATAAATATATAACTTCAAATACCATTATTTTCAAGAAAAGGTGAACTAATTATATATGATGTCAAATAGCTTTTGATGTCATTTGAGAAAAAGTTGTACCGATTTGATCATTAAATAATACCAAATATTTTCACAATTGCACAGAATACATGATATACTTTTACTTTAATTTAATGCAAAGTTTAACAAGTCAAATGTTGACAAACATGTCCTTGACAAAACTTGCTTTTATACAAAATTTTAGGAGGATGGCTTGACAGAAAGTAATGGCATTCAAATTAAATCTCTAAATGAGTAAGGTGCTGGCTTACTAACCAGCAGGTTCTGGGGTATGATCCCAGTGTAGGAGCTGAAAAGTAGGATAACCCCAATTTCATTCATTCTGTCAAATAAAATCTGACCTGTCTGTACAACTAAATGTCACAAAACTAAGTGACCTAATATTATAGATTATTTTGCTCATAAACAGATAATAGATTTATAAAGCATGATCAAGGGGGATTATGTATTTTACATTGTATGGCAGTCCTACAAATCTTTAGACTTTATACTAGCAGCTTTAGACTTTGAACTTCTTGTAAACCATATATTAAAATCGAAAAGAAAAATCAACATGGACATCATGTTGATATGAATAAGTTTAAAACTAAAAGGTCAAAGTTCAAGACAGTAATACTTGGCTTGATTTTCAATATCAGCTGATCTAAGCATTTTACATTCATATCAACATCAATTTAATGATATATTAGTTAAATTCAAAGATTTGAAAGCTATTTAAATTTCAACACAAAAAGTATTAAGAGCTTAAAAGCTTAATGTACCATTGGCTAAGATACAATTACTGATAACTCTGACACTATACAACTTTTGAAATAAGCTTATCTTTGTATAAATTTTACCTACTGGTATGTTATGTAGATCAGAATGAGATTGAGTTTTTGCCTGTCATAGAATTTTTGTCTCTGGCACATGAAGTAATTTCTAAGGCAGGTTTAGTTGGAATTCTACCAACTCTGTAGAGAATTATCAATACTGTGTAGCCTATTATCTCTGTTGTTTGCAATGTTTTGCTGATATCTGTACTTCTTGCTTCAACGTGAAAGCAAATTCTACTCAGAAGGCTATACCTTGGGTTACCCCTAGTCAGTTGTGCAGGATGGAGGGCTTGGCAAGGGACAACACATAGTCTTTCAGATGAAATGAAAAACAATAATAAAAGAACTCTTGACTGTTGGAATTTGATATAATAGTAGGCCATTAAACCCCATTGCATAAAAGGCTATAAATTGTACAAGTCAGGAGTGTGTAGTGTTCACACAGATTATGAGTAAAACAAGCTTAATTACTAGTACTACATGTACAGCTTCACTCCTAGAACACTTAAATATAAATCATCACTTTTTTGTATAGAACTTTTGTGTAACTACGATGAATTTTAACTTATTCTTAATTTTTTGGACTGTATTCTGTATATCATTTCATCCCATCTCTTTCTTCTTATATTATTAGAGGAGGCGCAGGGGTTTGGTTCAATCCCAGTGTTGGCCAAGAGAGTTCCCCAGAATTTTTCAGCATGGTTTCTCCTTGACAGCAGTGCAGTACGGAGGGTCTGACATGTATCAACAGGTTCTAGTCTTTGGGATGGGATGGAAAAACAAGATTTCGTCTACAGGTTTCCATGCACGTAAAAGAACTAAAAAACTTTTGCCAGCCGGAATCCAAGAAAATCCTTGAAAAATTGCACTCATAGCACATATGACTTATGCCTGTCTTCATTAGTCTGGGTTCCCCAGAAAAGTAGGATGTTAAACCCCATTTCAATCATTCATTCGCTATAAGTAATTGTAACTGGACAAATGCCTGTAAATTACATGTAAATCTGTTTGATCTATATTAGAATCTAAATCAGCATTATAAGGTATACATGTATGTCAATAACTAGGTCAAGGTTTATTTGTTGTACATGTACATTGTAACTTATATTAAGTAAATAAACCACATCATGTCATCTCAAATTTTACCAGCTCATATACTCTCCAGAATACTTCAAAATCAATAATATTAATAAACAGGTTAGTAGTAGTACATACATGTATAAGCTTATACAGTCATTAAAGCAGTTCTTGCTGTAATAAAATCTGATCCTTATTATTGGGCTTATAACTTTTAAAGATGCATTATATAAGATCTAGATAAAGAGCTGACCATTTTTGCAATATAAACTATAATAGTTCAAAAATTGATCATATTGAAAATTTCAGCCAAATTACTTTAACCTGAGGGAAGTCTATGAGTGTTTGAAGTTTCTGCAATATAGTAGACCTTGATTGGCAATTACTAATTTTATAATATTACTAAACAAAGTCTTGATTATTCATTTTTACATTAAATTATTAAATCTGGTACTAGTAGTCAAGAGAGTTGATTAAGGGCTCAATTTTCATGTGTATAGTAATTAACAATTTATATAACATTTAATGCCAAAACAAAGACCTGCAATTGGCAGATTTAGCTCTTACATAATACATCTTTAATTAATCTGGAAATGGAACACACCAGTAAAATCAGAATCAATTATAAACACATTGGAAAGAGCAAATTCAGTTATGCTCTCAAAGTATGTTATTACATTTATATCAAAATGTGTATGTGTAATCGCTTCCCATCCGATACAATTAATATAACATAAACGGTTACCGCCCCGGTATCTCTCCAAAAATGAAAATCTGGTTAAAATCACACAACAATCATCAAAAATTATATATGTTCTGTATCTCATTTCTTCTTTATTTATAGTTATGATTTTCTAAACTATACTATATAAGATCTAACATAATCCAGAATGTCTGTACCTGTACAGAAGTTACTGGTAAAATATAAAATACGGAATATAAAATTAAAGAAAACAATAAGCTATAAGTACCCATGGAAAATACAAGATATTAATCAGATTGAATGTAAATAAACTTAGTTTTAATTTAAGCAATTCATTTGTTATCCTCATGAGGCTTATTATTCATGACTCAATTACTCTTTCTCTCATCAAAATTTTCTCATCTTATCATGTAACATTATATCTCTTGGAAAAATAAAAAAAAATGATACAAATCATTACATTTTGTGGACATAAGGTTATTATGGAATGGAATGGGGTCAATTTGTTCAATTTCAGACAATGAGAATAAAATTATTCAATTTGTATTTTTCATTTCATTGACTATACTTCAAATATTATATTTCAATTGCCAAGGCACAAGAGTTATTTTACATGTACACCCAATGGCTTTTAGCTGCAGTTTTATTTTGTGAAATTACAACTTAAACTGTGGACAGTTGCAGAATGCAAGAGGATGGTTTTGACTGAAAACACATTTCATGTGTGGAAAATCTTCAACTGAAATTAAGTCCCTCTTGATAATTAATTTCACACCAAACGACTAATCTTTGATGCAAATTATAACAAATAAGCATATCACTGCACATCAGCTAATACAAGATTGAAAGCTATGGCATGAAAAGCCAATGCCCAGTAGCAATTTTTGCTTGGTTATTCATATTATAAGCAGTTTAGCAATGTGGGACAAACTAGTAGTCTAATACTGAATGTAAGTTGTGAAAATTCTATCCTCAATATAGGAGGTATATATTCCCACATACAGAATTGTCTAAATCCTAACCCAAATCAGCTGAGCTGATTGCTAACTACACGATGAATGAATAGATTGGCTTGCTAATTTAGAAGAAAGAACTGTTAGTCCCTGCCCCTGGCCTGTGTGTTTGACCAGTTGAAATCTATATTGCATGAAAACAAGAAGTAATGAATATTGGCCTCACCAATTGCCGGAGCCGACAATGCATACTCTTTTAGCTGCTGACATTTTGCTAGTTTTAATTCACTGCTGTAGTAGTAAACTGTCAACGTATTTAACCCAATTTTCACTGTGTCAGCTCTGTAAACTGTTTAACTGAACTCAACTCAATGTGTGTGTGTAGTGACCTTTGACCGTAATCTAGTTCGTCAAGGGAGACGACTCCCGTTTTGGTATTGTATTCGCTCTTCCAGTGGTAACTTTTTGCACTTTGCTTTCGCAAACTGGGCAGCCATAAAATTCGCTTGGCATCTACTATAACTTAAATGGATGACACCGGTAGAGTTAATTAGTTATCAATATTAACTTTTTTTTCTTCTGCAAATTAAATTATAAATCACTTTTTTAATATCTGGATAAAAAAAAATATTTCCTTCCGCGTAAATGGGTACATCCGAGGGCTGGCTGAAAAGTTCTAAGTTATATCTCACACATTCTGATCAGTGAATATCCTATGATGTTCTATTTCAGCCACCTCGCGCGTCGCTCTTTTCATTTCCAAGCTATAGGGGAAAAAAGCGACGTCGACTTTTTGACAAGACTTCGTTCTTTATAAAGCGACGTGTCGTGCGTCGCTTTTCAAAATTATTAGGATACGGTACTTCATTATTTTACATTTTTAAATGTTAATACAATCATACTTCTTTTTTAAAAAATGCACCTGCATTTTCTAAAAAAATATTTAGTTTTAATACTACTACATGCAATTTCCGAATTTCGAAAATTCGTCGCTGTGATTTCGTCCCGGAAGTTGAGACCAACTTGACAACTTCTTTAATACCTGCACAATTTTTATGAAATTTGGAATACGTAGCTCTTATACTGATGTGACTTGAAAGATGTTATTAGAAATTTCCTAACTTATCTTCCCTTGGAGTAATTAAGGATCGAAATTAATACATTTCTGGTTAGTTTCCTTCCAAGAATGGGTGGTGACTTTGGAATCAATATATTTTCAAAACGTTTTACGATTCCGAAATCACCGAAATTTACTGATGAAAAATTGAAATACATATATAGCTGTGACTATTTGACATATTTTACTCTTTCTTTTTTCTTTAAGTACCTTGAAACATTTGCCTTTAATCTGCTATTTCCGATTTTCGAATTTCGAAAATCACGACATTGACATCTCATCCCGGAAGTAAAATCCAGATTGACATCTTCTTTAATATTATTACGATTTTCATGAAACTTGGCATGTATGTAGACCTAGCTGATCCAACTTCAAGGATAGCATTAGAAATTCTCTAACGTATCTCCCCTTGATTAAATCAAGGATCAAAGGTTTCAAAATATCGAAAAAAAGTAGGTCAGATTGCCTTGTAATTCAGGGTAGCCGGGATCAGAGTCGAATTTTTGGTATTTCCAAATTTCGAATTTTGCCCTAGACGTTTTTCGTGCCGAGTGAAAATTCGCATTAACGCCTTGGAAATACTCGGAATATCCCGTTGTTTCGTGAATTCGTCTCCATTTCCCGAAATTAATACATTTCTGGTTAGCGTCCTTCCAAGAATTAGTTTATATTATGTTGGGTGTACCTTAGTCCACATTGACATTGGTATCTGCGATATCACTTCCAATGAAGCGGATACTAAACACAATTCTGGTGGTCAACCTCATTCATTTGTGGGCAAGAGGTTAATGCCGCATCTTACCCATATCTGTGGTCCCACAAGGGATAGCGAGGATGGCCTATAAGCGACGAGAATTGACATTTTAAGGTCAATCACAAAGAATGAATGTCAGTTAACTCGTCCACAAGTAAACTCTTCCAAACGAATAGTATAATTAAGTCGTCCACAAATATCAAAACTCGTCGGTTGAGTCGTCCACACAGGGCCTAAAATAAGGTTAAATTCTCGTGGCACTGATTGTGTGCCCAACGGCGAGCGCCGGCCCCGGCGGAGGTGCGACGTTCAGAGCTGAAAAACGACATATTTGAACAATACTAGCACAGTTTACATAGGAGTTTATTTGACTATGCGCAGACTTTTTCGCCAGAAAACTTGCTCGACCATGCTGGGCATTTTTTCTGGAAAAAACTCAAAGTCGCTTGCCCACATTGGTTTTTAGGCTGTGGTGGATCAAGCTCCGGTTTTCCACCCATATTTCAATACTTAAAAATCGCAGAAAATTAAGTCAAAACAAAACTTGTACAAAGTAAAACTGAAATGACGATCAAGGACGCAGCGGATCGGATACCAGGCCTACTGAAAAGCATGTCTAGTGAGCTGATGTGGCTGGCGCTCAGTCGACTCATCCGAGGGAGCCGATCGAGCGCCAGTTGATCTGATCTGATCTGTGCAACTTACAACAACAAGAGGAAACACCCATTAGAGGTCAGGAGGCATCGCTACCTTAGTGTTTTTTTATTTTATTTTTTTTTTTTTAAAGTGCGTTTTTCTTTTTTTCGAGGCACTGGTGGATCAAGCTCCGGTTTTCCATCCATATTTCAATACTTAAAAATCGCAGAAAATTAATCAAAAAAAAACTTCTTGTACAAAGTAAAACTGAAATGGCGATCAAGGACGCGGCGGATCGGATACCAGGTCTACTGAAAAGCATGTCTAGTGAGCTGATGTGGCTGGCGCTCAGTCGACTCATCCGAGGGAATCGATCGAGCGCCAGTTGATCTGATCTGATCTGATCTGTGCAACTTAAACAAAGAGGAAACACCCATGAGAGGTCAGGAGGCATCGCTACCTTAGTGTTTTTTTATTTTATTTTTTTTATTTTTAAAAGTGCGTTTTTCTTTTTTTTCGAGGCACTGGTTTTTGATTTCGAAGCACGTTCGTGCTCCAAAGCACGTTATTTTAGACCTTGGGGCCGACTAATCACAGACTAAGTGCATTGGAAATCCTAAGACACTATAGACAGCTCGTACGTAACTAACGTACGAAAATTAAATGGTAGCTGGCTTTTTTTTTTCGCACGTATACAGTGAATGGCCATTTTGCTCAGCAATCCCAGCCAGAATTTGGCTATTTTTTTAAAATTGCGTTAAAGTTTTAAATTTTTGTTTAGAACTGAAATAAATTAACTATTAGTCAATCCCCACGCTAAAAACATTAACAGAATTGATTGTGTATATCTGAAATAGACACGACCGAAGCACAAAATAGTGCCAATATGCCGACGTCAAATCTAGAGTTGTAGATGATGTTATTTTTGTGAAAAATCATTGGAAGAAGCGATAAGACGTTCTGTACGGATTATACAGTCCATAAGGGCTGCTAGAAGGCTATTGTTTACAATGTAACAGTGTGTCTTGTAATGTTGATAATGATCATAATGATGGTGTTTACATTTGTTTGTTGATGTGACCTCATGACCTGTGACGTTTAGATAACGTCATATAAATATCATGGCTATTCACTGTGTCAGAGTCACTTCTCTGCAGGTAGGGTGAGTCTGTCGTTCAGATTGTAGACAGCTATGACCGGGTCTGACTAGCTAGTTACTTTCACTTTCCACTCCACGTGAACGCCGATCAAGCACCCGCTGTTGTGTTTATTTTAAACTATACCCCTTCGACTTTGCTGATAATTGATATATAGCGCCTATGCTTATTTAGCTTGACCGGACTACGGTTACAGAGATAAGCCCCGTTTAATTTTGGCGATCTGGCCAAATGGGCGTGTGTCAATATTAAAATGACAATAGCTCAGTAACTGCTTCATCTTCATATACGGGACCGGGGTGTTTTCGACTGCTATCCTGCATACTGTCATATCTTTAAACCACCGTGGACCCCTTAATTAATTAGTGAACATCTACAGGACAGTCTTCACGACCTTAAAGTACAATGTTGAGAAATCACTCCGAGACAAGCCACTCAAGCGTGCACATTCAGAAGGAAACATTTTCGCTGCATGGGGTACCTACAAATCGAATAGAAACACGACAACGAGACCTTGTTTTAAACGTAATCGTTACTGCATGCTCTAAAAATTTATACCGTACCATCATGCCTTTTCATTGATGTCCATGTTTTAAACTTACACAGAATCAATCGGTGATATTAATAAGTAGACAACTTCAACATCTTACTACAAGGCATTTAGGTTAATGGTTCGTTTAAAACGTTCGTTTATATCCTATGATTTAAAAAATCTCGAAAATGACCATTTTTACCATTTTGACTATGATAATTTTGCAATTTTAACCATACTATTTTCTCTTAATATGACAACGATTCGGCTCCATATTGGCGGGCCAGATCTGACCCGCGGGACGCCTGTTTGTTGACACCCCTGCACTCGACCATTATTAAAAATGTCTGCAATATACAGAAAGTGTTTACCTAACATTGTAGATGTTAAATTTTCTCAACCAACGTATTTCTGTACCGCTAACTTAAACAATGTCGTGTGGACGAGTCAACCAATGCGCGTGGACGACTCAACCAACGAGTTTTATTATTTGTGGGCGACTTAACTGAACTTATCGTGTGGACAAGTTTGTTTGTGGACGAGTTAACTGGCATTCGTGTGGACGAGTCCACTAATGCCGTGTGGACGCAAGGTCTAAAATAACGTGCTTTGGAGCACGAACGTGCTTCGAAATCAAAAACCCGTGCCTCGAAAAAAAGAAAAACGCACTTTTTAAAAAAAAAAAAAATAAAATAAAAAAAACACTAAGGTAGCGATGCCTCCTGAACTCTAATGGGTGTTTCCTCTTGTTGTTGTAAGTTGCACAGATCAGATCAGATCAGATCAACTGGCGCTCGATCGATTCCCTCGGATGAGTCGACTGAGCGCCAACCACATCAGCTCACTAGACATGCTTTTCAGTAGGCCTGGTATCCGATCAGCTGCGTTCTTGATTGTCATTTCAGTTTTACTTTGTACAAGTTTTGCTTTGACTTAATTTTCTGCGATTTTTAAGTATTGAAATATGGATGGAAAACCGGAGCTTGATCCACCACAGCCTAAAAACCAATGTGGGCAAGCGACATTGAGTTTTTTCCAGAAAAAATGCCCTGCGGGGTCGAGCAAGTTTTCTGGCGAAAAAGTCTGCGCATAGTCAAATAAACTCCTATGTAAACTGCGCTAGTATTGTTCAAAGATGTCGTTTTTCAGCTCTGAACTTCGCACCTCCGACAGGGCCGGCGCTCGCCGTTGGGCACAGAATCAGTGC